TGTGGCTATGGATTTTATTCGTGCTAAATAAATACCTTGTTCATTTGTAATTAGCTGATATCTAGGTTTTCTCTCATCTGATACACTTCAGGGAGTAAATGGTATGCATACAGATATATTTATTGTTAATAAAGGAACTGCTAACAATAAAAAATATAACTATGTACTGTATGAGAAGCTAATCTTTATTTTTTTTACATATTAATTCTTTTTTTACATAATATTTCAATTATCTGAGATTTTATGGTTATGTAATTATTTTCCTATTATATTTTTGTTATTTAATTTGACTTAAGGACCTTTATGGGTGAATTCTTGGATGCCATTTATATTACGTGAATGTCAATTAACATGGTTTTTATTCATTTGATTTAAATTTAACTGTGGCGCGTACTGAAAAACGAAAGTAGTATCTTTCCTGCATGTGCATTGAAATCTAATTTAAATAGCATCTTGGCTCTTGTCGAGTAACTTGTTCGGCAACCGAGTTATTGTACGGAAACCGGGGCAAATAAATTCGAAATTCTGTTTCAAAAGTGAGGCTTGAAAACCAAAGTTTGATTGTATTTATGGCAAAAGCCAAATACAAAATATCTAAGAGCTATTGTTAAACATGGCAGAGATCATTTAATGCATGGGATTGCATAATAAAGACAAATATTGCCTTTATGAAATGAAATATGAATGTATACTGATATATTATAAGATAATCTGTTGCACAGTAAAGATATGCAATTCTTATTATTTTCAAGAAGACAATGACTCTAAACATACATCACTTATACCTAAATTATGATTATTGTATAAAGTAAGAAGGAAACTAAAAACTCTTCCATAATCTCTCTTCATAATCAAATATAGATCTCTCCCGATTGAGAATTTATAGCATTTGTTATGTTTAAAAGTTACAAAGCGTAGTTTCAACAAAATATAGCTCAAGAATATAATATTATTTAACATTTTTACGTAGCCGTTTAAATTATTGCCATCGTTTAAATATAGTTTGTCAAAAATTAATATTAAATATATATTATTGAGATTTACACAATATATAGGCCTATATATAATTAGGCTTACCATTATATATTTGAAGAATTTCCTTCCATAGCTACTAGGCTTGCCTTATTTCAAGTGATTTTTAAATGTCCGAATGCTCACCATGAGTTACTGAAAATTCTGAAAAAAGAAGATATTTTAGTTGACAAATCGCCATTTTACCCGAGGCTGCATTATTTTTACTTCTTGTATATTCATTCGTAAACCTCAAATAAAAACGTTATGGTAATGTCTGAATTTATCTACGTGATATTTATATAATTAAAAATTTTTTATAATAATTGTAATGTAAACTTACCTCATCAGTCATTAATGTATCAAAAGTTTAAAACAACAATGGTTATTGCAATGAATGGAAAACAAAATCAAAAACATTATAAGGTGCATAACCGGAAAATGTTTATTTTTAATGATTCAGAATGTGCAAATATTTATTAAAAATACCAATTTAACAAATATGAAACAACTACGTTTTATAATCATTTCTGAATGACCAGTATTTCATTAATAATTTTATAAATAACGAGGACCTATTCTCTGCAGACAAATGGGATGCAACGCGATTTCTAATTGATGGACGTAGGTTTAAACCTATAAACAAAGGGGATGTGTAACCGAAATGTATAACAGTAATAAAAGTTACTTATTAAAGATTAAAGTGTCATTGTATTATTCCTAATAACAGTGTGATATGTCTACAAATTTAGTGTTTGAGGAATCGTAACTTTATTTAACATTCCTTTTCTGACACTCCAGCGGTAATAAAATTCCTGCAATTTTCACTTCACTATAACAATTTCGTTGAAATTGCTTTTCCTCTTTTTTACTATTGTCTTTCAATTGGTAAATAAATGAATGCAAGGAAGAGAAGCAAGCTAGGAAAAAACTAATAAGTACTAATCTCAATCACAACCACAAATTGTCTTAGACACAGTCGTAAGGACACCGTCCATACCTCTTTTAATTTTGTTATTTACCTTATTCTTCACTTAAGGCAGAAAAGTAAGAATGCACCGACAGACATCAGGGAAAGAAACGTCTCTGTGCTGCTTTTATAGGTTACCAAAGCATAAGAAAAATATAATTCGAATTGTGGATTAAATTGAGGACTATAGAACTAAATTAGTTTATTTACATGAAATAAATATCAAAAATAATATAATTAAAATATATAACATATTTGTTTCGTACGTGGACTTCATATTTAGCTATTTAAATAACTTATATACATCTTTCATTTTAACATTTTTGAGGGTCTCCTCAAGTTGGTTACAACGAGAGTCCACTCTTTATTGATATTTTTACAGTCAGTCAATTAATAAAACATTCAGCAACGAGTTGCATAACTTTCCCGGCTGTTATGAGATTTTAATAATATAAAAGTTATTTTCAAAAGTAATCAATTATTATTGAAATTATTATTATTGTATATATATATATATATACAATATTTACATGTTCTAAATGTAATTTAATTATAGAAACACATACAGTAGACTTCGCTGTGACATTTCCAGCTGTTACTGGTATAAATTTTCTTTTATGACTTACAAAATGTTGTATTTTAGTCCCTTTTCTGTTTTATTGGTCATTTTAATATGGTATTATATATTTCAAACTGTATTACTAGGAATAGAAGTTCAATTTATGATACTGAGTCTATGGAGAATTATTGTTTAATTTATGATGGCTCATTTAATGATGGGTTTTTGAAGATCAGTCGGGTCGTAAAACCAGGGATCTACAGTATTATATTGTGCAGGTGTGTTTTAAAGTATTTTTTACATACTTTATTGAATTAGCAGCTGTAAAATAAGACAATTGTAAGATTTTATATAATTTTTAATTAGTGTGTTTTATGCGATATGCTGTTCAGATACGTATATGCGTATAAGCAGATACGTGTATGCTTAATGTTTATTCTGTAATTTCTTATTAAATATATTTTATAAATGTAAGCTTATATATTTTATGCAAGCTTTATTTTTCGTTTAAATGAATAATAATTTTAGTTTCAGGTATTTGAAATTATTTATAGTACTGTTCGTGTGAATGATTAAAATATTAAATATTTCCAGTGTTAAATATATAATCGAATTTTTAAATTATGTTCTTTTGGGAAATAAAAGATTCATTATTACAACACGGAGATTATAATATATTAATCGTTTTAAATAACAATGCAATTAAGCAGTAGCTAATTCTAGAGTAGTTGGTATAGTACATCATATCTTATTAATCCTTTTATTTAAATTAAAATTCTGGAGCATTATTTTCTATATTTTTATAGATCTCATCAGAAGATAGTTTCATTTAAAAAAAAAATTACATATAGCCTAATTGGTGCTAGTTTCAAAGACAGTAATTTAGTTAATTAATTATTATTAAAAATCATTTATCTTATACAAAATTACCGAAAAATTTCAAATTTATCCTATTTATCCTGATTAAAATACACTTTATATATATAAACTGTAAATATTTTAAAACGAGTAAATATATTAATTAATTAATTATAATTAATATTTCTGGACCAGGAATGTCTAGCGCTGCTGGACATATTGATTTTTATTCAAATAATGGAATTAATCAAGCAGGTTGTCGAATGTCTCCTTCAAAAATTTTTAGGAGCGGAAGCATAGAAGAAGGTCAATTGCTTTATTTTTTATTTTTTTTAAAAAATAATCTCAGAAATACAGCTGTTTGACATTTACAATGAGAATAACTTCTAATATTTTCTAATCTACCTAATCAGGTTTTATCACGGTTGTCTATACTGTAATACTGTGTCTTCGCGTCATTGAATTTGCACTGGTGGAGGGTCTGTTTCAATGTTGTATTTACTGTACTTTCTCCATAAATATAACAAAAATGTCATGGAAAAATTGAAAAAAACGTGTAGAAATATCATCATTGTTTTTTAAAAACTGCTCTTGTGTTAAAAGTTTAACTTAAAAATCTAAAATTATGTTGAATTTTATATGGATAAAAATATAGAAACCCATTTTACTTCATGAAAAATGGGAATTTTTAGAAGGAAAGTGTTTCTCTTGTGTTATCAACAGTTGTGTTATTATGGTTGTTTATAATGACAGATACCGCCATCTGTTATCCGAAAATGAAATTTAAAAAATTTATATGAAAACTAGATCGTGTTCTTTATATTGTAGTATTTTACCGTTAATATTATAAATATAATTAAATTTAACTTAAGAAAGCTTATCGAGTAAAAATTAATTTTTATACACGCTTCCATTCAGAATGGGTGAAAACATTTTAACATTTTAATCGTGCTGCCATCTGTGATATAAAAGTATTACTAAAATCAATAATTAAAAAAAAATTTAAATTAATCATATATCATAATTTATTTAATTCGTTAAAATTGATTTGTATTTAAAATTATTCTTAAACGAAATTATTATATTTTTAGATATTTTTAGTCATTTTTAGTAAGAAAAAATAAATAATAATATATGGCGCCATCTAGTATAGATAAATGACAAATATTCGTATTAAATTTCTGTTACAGGACTACCTGGAACAATTTATACTTATTTATTAACACTTAAAAAACAAATTAAAAACTTTAAAAAATTTTATTAAACTTTAACGAAATTTACAAAATCTTTCATTTTTAACAAATATTAAGAAAATAATAAAATTATCCTATGCAAAATTAATAATGGACCTTTGACATCTGGACATAAAAAATACTTATACAGTATATAAATGTATTTATGGATACATCAAATTGTTTATATAAAAATATAGCAATTCTTCACTTAACGTAGGTTCTTAGAAAGTGCGACTTTTACGTATAACGAAACCAATTTTTACTACACGCTAATTGATAAAAGCAAGATATAATTCGTATATATTATTCTAATTATATTGTTTGCGACCTCCAACATTTATTTTCCATTTCACAGAATCAATTCTACTGTTTTGTAAAGCAAATTCAACAACGATAATTGTAAATGAATACAAATGTACTGTACCTGTACGACGACGTTATGACGAAACGACGTTAAATAAGGACTCGCTTGTATTTTAAAAATATTTCCTAAATCTATTAATTCGATCATTAAATTACTAAGGTTAATGGTCGAACATCCTTGAAGAGAATTCGAATAAAAAGCTTTTCCTTTCATACATAAGCATTTGTTAAAGTCTTTAGTTCCGTTAAATTGAATGAATACAAGAATAAATACCAAGAAAGAAAAAATAAAATTAATTTGTATATACGTTTCTTTTCATTCAATGAGATTTTTTATTTCGTTCTATTCTAAATTTCATATCAAATTTTTGAAATGTACTTCAATTATTAGAAAAATAATATATGTTACACGCATTACAAACTGTGATATTTATCTAACAAGGTATAACAAATTACGGAACCTTTGTTAGATATATCTAATCTAACAAATTACTTTCTTAAACCCAATAATCTTTATAAAATATGTATATAAATACATTATTTACAATTTTTAATCTGTACTCGTAAACGTTATATATGACACGTTGTTACTTATTATATACGAAAAAAAAAACTGCTTAACAAAGTCCACCACTGAACACTGTTCTGATGTTTTCGGGATCTAAAGGTTCGTCTTTTGCACAGAAGACTTCTCTATTAAAAAAATTATATATTTAATATAATTTATTTAAATATGATAATTAAAAATTTGGCGTTTATTACCTGTAACTGGTTTCTAAATTGGTAATTCTGAAACTGTGTATGTAAATCTGAGGATATTCGGGTTTGTAAACATCGGAATATTTCTGTCTATGAGTTGCTAACGGATGCCACAATACGTCGACACGTAACATTCTACCTAAATTTGGAGAACCGATAACGAATTCGACTGTCCTTCCCGGTCCAAAGAGTACAACTCTACAATTTCCAGAAATAAATAATCATTGGATATAAAGTATTTAATTTTTTTTTTCTAAATTAAAGAGTATATTTCTTACTCTTGAGTAGCTTGTAACAATGCAGTTCGTCCTTTAGTGCCGGATATTCGGACGAATAAACTTCCGGTTTCGTTGCCTTGCCTCACAGCATCGTCCGTACCAGATAACAGGACACTGACGTGATAATGATAACCTGATAAGAAGGAAATATGTAAAGGTGGAACGGGTCAAGTGAAGGCTACAAACATTCTATTTTGAATTCTTGACAATAATTAAAGAATCTTCTTAATATAAACAAACACACAATACTTACGGCAATAAGGCTCAGCAATTCCAGTTTCTAAGAACATTTTTACTGGATCCGTTCTCGCGTATCTTCTCCAATCGTCAGCTCTATACCCCAGAGATGCACATTGAGACATATCTGTACCACATCCCTCCGAGCAACGCCCGGATGTGAAATTTAAATAACTATCGCAAGCAAATCCATTGAAAGGACAATCGGAATTAATAGATTCACTGAAGAGTTCTATAGATCTTGCGTAATTACATTTTCCATACATATTAACGTCTGAGGAAAAAAATAATTTATACTGTAAACAATTAAGTCCATATATATACAAGTAAACATTATGCAATTATTCAATCAGTAATAAAAGTTGATTGTTATAGAGAGGACTTGAAAGTGTTGTTTCCTGTCTTGCATACTCAATAAAGAATATAGCAAATACGCAATATCCTTCCTGTTCCGTACAATCCCTATTACGACTGAAAAATAGGCAGTAAATAGAGAATTGTATACAATTAAACACTATGCATATTCAATTAATGAGGAATATTTCCATAAACATGAGGGTGTTTTAAGAGATACATGACAGATTCCCATGTGGTCTAGTGGTTAGGATATCTGGCTTTCACCCAGAAGGCCCGGGTTCGATTCCCGGCATGGGAACTTTTTTTTTACTTATTCGTTTTATTTATATTATAATTGAATGTGAAATCGTTAATATAATAGGGAAAAGACGCCATTACGTTTAAAAGTAATAAAATGAGTATTTTAATAACTAAAATTAAAAAAAATTTAAGCATAAAAAAGTGTTCCCATGCCGGGAATCGAACCCGGGCCTTCTGGGTGAAAGCCAGATATCCTAACCACTAGACCACATGGGAAGCTGTCATGTATCTCTTAAAACACCCTCATGTTTATGGAAATATTCCTCATTAATTGAATATGCATAGTGTTTAATTGTATACAATTCTCTATTTACTGCCTATTTTTCAGTCGTAATAGGGATTGTACGGAACAGGAAGGATATTGCGTATTTGCTATATTCTTTATTGAGTATGCAAGACAGGAAACAACACTTTCAAGTCCTCTCTATAACAATCAACTTTTATTACTGATTGAATAATTGCATAATGTTTACTTGTATATATATGGACTTAATTGTTTACAGTATAAATTATTTTTTTCCTCAGACGTTAATATGTATGGAAAATGTAATTACGCAAGATCTATAGAACTCTTCAGTGAATCTATTAATTCCGATTGTCCTTTCAATGGATTTGCTTGCGATAGTTATTTAAATTTCACATCCGGGCGTTGCTCGGAGGGATGTGGTACAGATATGTCTCAATGTGCATCTCTGGGGTATAGAGCTGACGATTGGAGAAGATACGCGAGAACGGATCCAGTAAAAATGTTCTTAGAAACTGGAATTGCTGAGCCTTATTGCCGTAAGTATTGTGTGTTTGTTTATATTAAGAAGATTCTTTAATTATTGTCAAGAATTCAAAATAGAATGTTTGTAGCCTTCACTTGACCCGTTCCACCTTTACATATTTCCTTCTTATCAGGTTATCATTATCACGTCAGTGTCCTGTTATCTGGTACGGACGATGCTGTGAGGCAAGGCAACGAAACCGGAAGTTTATTCGTCCGAATATCCGGCACTAAAGGACGAACTGCATTGTTACAAGCTACTCAAGAGTAAGAAATATACTCTTTAATTTAGAAAAAAAAAATTAAATACTTTATATCCAATGATTATTTATTTCTGGAAATTGTAGAGTTGTACTCTTTGNAGCACCATCTGTTGGCAAGAATTTTTTAAAATAATAAACTATTTACCTGTATGTAATCTATAAAATCGGAAATGACTACTCCCACTGCTCTAGCATTTGCAGTTGCTTGGGTATAAGGAGGACCAGCTCCAACTCTCCAATCCACAGATATAATATTGCTATCTTCGGCAGTTAGCAATTCTCGAATTAAATCCTAAAAATTTAATTGTTTTCAATCTTTATATTCGAAGTTTCATAAAGAATTTTCACAGAGACCATTCAAAATAATAATAATAATAATAATTCTACCTTAATCCATATTTGAAATCCATCTTCCGAATAACCGTGTACGATCATCTTTACAGGTTTTCCTTCCTCAAAATTAGATATAACAAAACTATTATTATTTCCAGCTCTTAATTTTTGATATATATCTGGATTTTTTCTAGTCATTAATAAAAATTGTACATCTAATACATCGGGATGAAGAGGAAATAAACTGATGGGACGACGAAGATTAAAAAATGGTTCTCCTATAGTAAAGCATCCCCATTTATCGTAGCATCTCGTAAGAAGACTATCCTTTTCTATAAAGAAAAATAAAATAAAATAAAATACTGGTATACTTTCAATTTATAATTATAATAAAATAAAAAGTACCATCTTCGGTGGGACTTCTTCCATCTGTCAGGTGATAATTTCGTTCTCTTTCAACGGCATAAGCCACATTTTTAATAATAAGAATACACAACAGATACCTTAACATGTTACTGCCGTAACGTCTAGATAACCAGTCGAATATCAAAACAATAGAAATGTGTCTTAAACGAAACGTTAACTTTTCATAAGCTATATATTGCGCATGTACGAAAGGGAAAGTGGAAAACTCAAGAAGGTCAACTTGCTTTATGACACGATGTAACATACCTCGAGGGTCTTTCTAAATTATCGACGAATCTTTGTTTTAATAAATGTTACAAAATTCGTATTTCTCAATTTTACTTTTTATTCTATGCACTTATATTTAAATTATATAAGATGCACAATTGCTCCATTCACCATATGAAGTGCATATATAGTAAGATATTATCATTCATATGGCTTTTTTTTACGTAACATATTTCAGGATAACTTAATAAATTTTTAACATTCCTCAACATGACAGATATAACTTACAGTTAATAAGTAAGAAATTCTAATAATATTATTTTCTTGTTGTATATTTTACCTTTGTTCTTCTAATATATAAATAAAAACAAAGATATTTGTGTAATAATAATTTGTAACTATATAAATACAAACATACTAATGAAGAAAGAGATAATTTAGACAAGTGTAAAGAGGACAAGAAAATAATAGAATTACTTTTTCTATTTTTTTTTAATTAGGTGAAGGAAGGTTGGTGCGTTATTTATTATTGTAATTTTTGGAATAATTCGTTCCAAATATCTTTAAAATCATTTTTAAAAGAAAATAAATTTATATTTTAAAAATAAAGCCATGTAAAACTATTCATAATTTTTTTTTTATGCAGAATAAATACTATTGTTTATTGACTACTTGGGGATTCCTAAATCTAATACTTGTACTAAATTCAATTCTTTTGTTTCGACACAACTTACAAATGAAATTATTGAGTAACAGTTAAAGAACAGTAATTTTTTAAATCAAATCTAATCTTCTCTGCTAATAATAAATTAGTTTCCATTTTTATGTTACTTTTTTTTCATGTAAGAACCATTAAAAACGCCTATTTCATTGCTAATATTAATGAAAAAGAGCGACTAGTAATATGTTTTAATAAGTTTTACGAGTAGTATTTCTTTCAAAGGACAGGGAAAATTTATTTGAATAAAAATTTTTGTGAAAGGTGAGTATATATAACGAAGGACACATTTCAAGGTTAGGAGAAATGGTATATTTTTATTACATATTCTGCTTACACAAGTTATGCATGCTTCAAGGTCTGTTTTTAAAAGTTATTAGTTAAATAGGACTTTCGAAATTTATTTAAAGAAAATTGCTTTTATGTAACGAAACAGTTCTCTACAAACATGTAAGATGAAGAACAAGAACAGTTACCAGCAATAACAATCTTTTCAACAGTTACTTGAACAAATTGACATACAATACAATACATCGTTTAAATAGGTATTTTTCCAATTATATTTTATTAAAACCTCTAAAAAATCCATCAGTGACCAAGTAATTAAAATATTTAAAATTATGATTTTATAATGTACAGTACTGTACATCATACAGAAATTGAAATATCCATTTTAAGAATATATAAATGCAAACTATTGATACAAAATCTTTTTATACTTTGCATTCAAATTGATGTATTAATCGATTGTAAATTTCTTTATTGTCTTCCAAAGATATTATTCTGGTACCGAGTGTAGACGTTATCTTGATTCTTTAAAAGGTTCATTAGCAAAACATAAAATGGGTGAATTTCACTTTTATGGCGAATTTTGAATATTAACCGGATCTTGGATATTCAAATATTTCGAATACTCGAATATCCCGAATACTTAGTGAACTTAACTATCTAATATAGGTCTACTTATTTAGTTAATAATTTATTTAATATTTGTTTCATTTATTTTAATATTTTAATAAATTAATGAGCAATTATTTATTGTGACATCGTCACAATGCTGGGCAGCAATTCTTTTTAAATCATATTTATAATTTTATTTTATTTAAAATATATGCTTTACACCTCAAATTAGTAATGTCTTGCCCCTGTACATCATACTTTTCCTGTTAGCAATAGAGTCATCTATCTAACTCCTTTTAGGAGAAAATTTTTGAATCGAAATAACGGACTTCCGGTCGAACCGGAAGTTTATATATAGCTAATCGGAGCCTCCTGCCTTTAAGCTTTCAATATCTGGTCTCGACTTTCATCTATCTAACTCCGTTCTCGAGATTAAGGAAGGATAGACATACGATAGTGGAAATTTATAGGTCTACAATTATTTAAAATCCCAACCCAATAATTTTTCTCAAGCTAACCTTAATGAAGATTTTTATTAACCCCCCAAAATTTGAAAACGTTCGGGTCTATTCTGTTTCTTTTCTTGTCACAAATTAAACTAAATACAGTGGTGCCTCGTATAACGTACGCCTCGAGAANTTCCGTTATGTGTATATAGTTTATATGCAATAAAATATATATATTCTTAAAATATTTATTTGTATAAATAGTTACAAAAATTAAACTTTTCTGAGGTCATTTAATCGATAATAAAAATTGTTAAGTGATTTTCAATTAATCATATTTTCACTCCTACTAATCATTTACTTGTCATTTTAAATAGATTAATAGTAGAATAGAAAAATTATTAATCGATAAATATAATTCGGAAATATATTTTACAATGTTTTCCTTTTATCGAATAATAATTATTATTATTATTATGGGCAAAAATCTATTGTTTGCAGCATCATTAATTTTCATTCAATAGGTCACAGATAAACTGTTGATTTACAATGCGAGTAACTTTCGATTTTGTCCTTGAATAACCGCATTTTCCACGAATCCCAATACAGGATTTCACGATTTGATTTCACTATCGAAAACCAATTCGTGACCAGAATGCATAACATAACATTGTCCTTGTAATCTTACTTTCATTACGATCGTTTAATTTCTTCCTACTGTTTATTTTGTAACGAGAGTTACTATTAATTTTATCTTACCATTACTCGCTTAATCTATTTACAGATATGAATATAAACTTAAAAAAATAGTTAAAAACAATGATGAATTCCGTAAAGAATGTGTATATATATATACAGTGTATTATTATATAAAATGATAGCATGGCACAAAAAGGAAAGATGAATGAATAAGTCTCTCCATATATATCCTCTTGTATACTTTTAAAAATAATAATAAATTAATGACAATTTTAAAGCATGTATGAAAACAATGCTTTTAAGATTTATTTTTCTAAGAAATAGTTTTATTCATAATCTGACAATTNTAAATATCAAAAAGTTGTTCATATTTAATATATTTTAAAAAGAAAAATAAAACTTATAATATAAAAATTTGTTTCGGCTATAATAATAGCAAGGTTGCGGCTGAAATTTTCATCTCTAAAATGTGAACGTGAAACATTGAGCGCCGCTTACAAGATAGCAGTGCTCGACGTTCATGTTCACATTTTACAGATGAAAACTTTGGCCGCAACCTCGCTAATATTCTGTCAAATCTAATATACGATCTACTGAATTTATGATTACAATCCCTTCTGACATGTATCATTAGAAATTGCTTCTTATTCATGATTTGTTATTAATCATGCAGATTTCAATAAACAATAGATTAAGAAAAAATTAACAGATCTGCCAAATAATAATAATAATTTAATCTAAACAGATAGTCATTTTAGTAAAGAAATATCATTTCAGATAGAGTAAGTAGATCATATTTTAGATAATTCATTTCTTTTTTTAATTTTATAGTATATAATGAGCTGTAAACTTACAACAATGCTAGCTGCCCAAGGATTGAAAAGGATGATAGAGAGCACAAGAAATACTGTCATTAATACACAGAGCAAAGCTAATAGTAAATAGAAACGCAGTCCAATATACTGTTCCCAATAAATAAATGGAATACCAGTAGGAAAATTAGGAAGGCCTTTATCCTGAAATTTATGACATATCTTTCTTATTTCCTCTATAGTTGTAGTGATATCACGAGTAGATGCCATCTTATTCAAATAAAAAGGCATTTGAGTATAAATCAATGGTTGTGATTTAGGAATTTTTAATTCAACATCCTGTCTGTCATGTATCCATTGTCTTGGTTCTGGTCTAAGATTTGCTTGAGAAGCAGAATATGCTAAGGCATCATTTGAAACCCAAGCAGTAAGATAGTTGTAAAAAGCTTTTGGATTTATGATTCCATTTTCATCGACTAATTTCACTGCCATCACCTGAATAATAAAAATGTATTTTAAAAAAATACATTCTATTATTAACACAAAGTTGAGAGTAAATATGTTTTTATTGGGGTAATCTTGTAAACTTATTTTAAAAATAATAATAAATTAATGACAATTTTAAAGCATGTATGAAAACAATGCTTTTAAGATTTATTTTTCTAAGAAATAGTTTTATTCATAATCTGACAATTGTTCATTTTTCTTATAATAAAATGGGTGGCGACATATTAGTGTTTCCTTCATTAATAGACTGTTTCCTTAAGCATAACAATAATAAACTATCTATATAGTCATATAGTGTGACCGATTCTTAAAAACTTCAACTTCAGGATCCACCCTACTGTGGAATTCAATATAAATTACGCAATAATTATATATGTTGTCCTCCATCTCATATATACTTTACTTTTGGCATAATGAATTGTTATTCCTATTGGATCTAATCCAGACTTGTGAATTGTTGATCCCCCATTAAATTATTATTGCCATAATTCTGATAATCTGAATTATTTGTTGTTTTATATGACAACTTTCCTTAAATGTTACTATTTCATAAATAACTAGAAAAAAATTATTTCTAATTGTTTCTAGTAGGATTAACAATATATGTATTTATAAGTAAGATAATTAATATTTAGTAGGGAGTTTTTTTTCTATAATTAAATCGTTAATTTTTATCTAAGCGAAAAATTTCCCATAACCATTCAATCTCTATCAATGATGAAATATTATAAGCAGCCTTGAAACTACTACTTCATTCTTAATTTTATGTCAACTTGCTTATTTTATTATGAAATTAAGAATAAATCTGAAAAACTAGAAAAAAAATTTCTTCATATTTTCCTCATAACACAAGACATTTTTATATTTTGATTTAATAGCAGCAAGTTGCAAAAACTTTTTTTTTAAATCTAACTGTAAAAGTAATCATTTCGAAACATTGATAAAGTTAGGAAGCAAAATCTAAGTATTCCTGTCATCCTAAAAACCTGATATGTGAGATGAATTAACAATGGAAGCAAATGCATTGTGTCATTAAAGTTAGTACAGGAAAATTGATCAGTATTTTCTAAATGAAACCTTTAGAAACGAGTTTGGAATTCCAATAAAATCAATAGAAAAAAAAAAGAAATGTACTTGTATATTTTAGACACATACATTAATCACAAAACTAAATTATAGCATTATTATTTCAACAATAATTTATTTTTTACCTGCAGAATTATCATTGTTATTCTATAAAACTACTTAAAAATTTCAATTACTGGTATATATTTAAACATTTTTCCTTAATATTAAGTATTTCTTACAGGTTTAATTTTCCTTCTCTAATGTGTTTTACTTAGCTATTATCTTTATTATAATCTTTACAAAATTGTTTTAAAGATAAATTTAGATAATGTATTATACAATTCTTCATCATTGTTTTACTATGGTTATTATTTATAATTAAATGAAATAACAATTATTATTTCATAGTTCAATAGTTTTAGTATGGCAAGTTTGACTAAGGTTATTTTTTTAAAGAAGAGATGCTTGTAAATAAAGTATACATATTCAAGATTATTATTTATAGATATTTAACAGTCCCAATGCAAATATGGGTATAATAGTTCTTTTACCATGACCTGGCCATCTGAATCTTTAATTCATATTAATTTTGATTGTGGGATCACTTAAAAACTAGTTTATGGAATGCAATGTGAATTTATCAAACTGCAATATTGAAGCATCACAGAGTGGGTGGTTGAACATATTATTTACCTTCAGAATGAGAACAAAATTAAACAGTCTCTGTGTAGTATAAGTGTTTTGTACAAAATAAATTGGCCTGCTTGACTTAATAAAAAGTTTTTAAAAATATATTAGACTATTATTTTAAAATATTTTTATTATTAAATAAACACTGCAATAATTTCTCATGTTATGTCAGATTATTATCTTTTATTATTATTGATATTATTATTATTATTATAAGTATTAATGAAAGAATACAACAATTACAATATTTTACAAAAAAATAAATAAAGTTATTCACATATTAAAATTTGCACTTTATGAGCTTAAAACATTTGACACGTATTTAAAATCATAAACTTATGGATGAACTTTGTACTGGATCACATGAAGCATTGATATGAATTTCAATGTATCCCTGAATGAATAATTTCTTACAGATTTCAGAAAAATATGATAATAATTACTGTTTTCATGTCTGTTTTCACATCATTCACACATATTTTCACTCACTCTTACACAAATAAATAAAAATAATAATTATCTATCAAAATAATATTTTGTAACATGCTTGAAGTTATTGCTTGAGCAAGTCTCAAATATTTCATAAGGGAATAATGTAATTGATATTATTGTCTGAATCTGAGATATATAATTTCTATTTATGACTTAAAAAAGTTCATGACTTGTAGACAGTTTTAATTTGGTCACTCAGAATAACTACTTCTCCTATGCCTCTTGTGTCTGAAACTACCTTCTCTCTCGGCTGAACCTGGAAAATATATTTAAAATTTAGATTATTGAGATTAAAAATTTGATAAATTAATGTAGATAAATACCTGGAAGTGGTGTATGAACTTCTACTTTGACTTTGGCTGTAGCTTTTACTCGTGTTGTAATTGATGTTTGAGTTTTTACTGAAGGACAATCAGATATAGTTGATGATGGTGATGAACATGAGCTGCTTTCAAAGTCTGAAGATGAACTCTGTGATTGTGATCTCTCTTGATTTGGAGTATACTATAACAAAAACAATTAATAAGATAATGTAGGTACATAATAAGGCATTTATGTAAAGTTTTATAAATTATTCAAAAAGTATATATATTATTTGGGGCCATCAAAATAGGAAGAAGCTGGGGATTTTTAAGAAAATTTATATGCCTATAATGGTTGTTACCCATATAAATTCATGTTATTTTTACTAATAAAAAATAAAATCTTCAAGTCTGCTATGTATTAATTAATAAAGAAACATTCTACATATTTCATTTCTTACAACAATACTTCTTTACCCCCAAACAGCCCCGATATTATTAAATACAATGTAATTTAAATAGTAACAAAAATCAGAAAAATGATAAAATTTCTCTGGAGTTTTATCATCAAGTTATATTATATTACACTATAGATGGAAAAAATTTGAAAATTAAAATACTTCCAACTCATATAATTCTCTTTCTAACCTGTTACCGGTGCGTCTACTACGTCGTAACGAACCAAAACTAACGTTTTCGAACCCTTATACGGTTCTTCTTCAGGCTTTTTCGAATCTCTGATGGAAAATACAGCTCATAAAAAACTTTAAATTCGAAATACGTATGTTCGAATACACGTTTCCCGTTTACGTCGTTGTATGTCAAATGGGAAACGTGTATTCGAACATACGTATTTCGAATTTAAAGTTTTTTATGAGCAGTATTTTCCATCAGAGATTCGAAAAAGCCTGAAGAAGAACCGTATAAGGGTTTGAAAACGTTAGTTTTGGTTCTATTTAATATATCACATGTAATTTTTTTATATAATGTATAGAAGAGACTATGCAATTGTCTTCTAATTTGAAACCATGTCTTTTATCTTTGTTTATCCATATTGCACAATGAAGCACCTTCGATAGACACCAGGCTTTACTTTACATCCATCTTTATTTTGATGGTCAAATACCAATATGCATTTTCGGGCTCTTGCCTCTCTTCTGTCGTCTCTTTGTTATTTCTTATTCAACACATTGTATAAAATATATAAACACATGGCATTCTTTATAAATGCATAGAACAACTAAAAAATAGAGTTAACACTAATATATACTTACAAGTGTTTTGATTCATAGTGTCAAAAAACTTAAGTAGTAAAAAAAAGTAGTAAAAAAGCGTCGTTTTGACAAAGTTACTCTTAGCAAAAGCAAACTGAATTGGAGAGATCAAATAATTCTATCTTGTCCACTGTTCAAATCTGTTTGCCAATATTGTTGTGAAACATTTTCTAAGCATTCAAAAAATGACAATTAGTCTATAATTACTGGGATTTAATTTATCTCCCCTTTTATAAATCATCCAGAGATAAACTGAATTCCACAAATTTGGAAAGACTCTACTTTTGTAGACATAATTATAGCTGAGAGCAAGAAGGTCCATTGCTTCACCAGGCAACTGTTTTAAAAAATCTAACCAGAAACAAACAAGAACCCACTGCTGTTTTCTTTCCCAAGTTACTAATGATCTCAGCAATTTCCACTCTTTGGACAGGCAAATTCAGCACCTGGTTATCAACCACTTCCAAATCGTCCAGGTCAGTTTCATACAAGTGAATCGGCATCCCTATCAACCTCTCCATAAAAAGGTCACTCCACCAGTCAAAAGCAATGGAATCAACTTCCTCAACTAAATTTCTTGGGAAATATTTTTTAACAATTGACCAAAAAATAAGTATTATTACTTATTTGTAACTTTTTATTCAACAAATTAAAATAACTTTTCTTTTTTGCTTTTTTTAAATTAGTATAGCTTTTCTTGCAGGCAAATTATTCAATCCGTAGCTCATTTAATTTGTTTTTACAAAATATGGTTAATGCTTTTTCTTTTGATCTTTTAGCTTTATAACATTCTAGGTCATATCACTCATGCTTGAATTTAGTTGCTATCTTAGTACAATATTTTACTCTATTTGGATTCATTTCTATTATATAGTTACTAAAAATTTCACTTACTTTACTATAGATGTAAGCTCTGCCTTCAATTAATTAATTAATGTTATGTTCGGAATTGATCTTATTCTATCACCAATCTCTTTTTAATTGCTTGAACCAAGACACAATTATCTAAACTTTGCAGGAGTGCAGTTTCTATTTCAAATAGTTTGGTTATCAAAGTTTCTTCTAAACCAAGTATATTGTATTCCATTATTTTTTTTTTAAACAAGTTGAAAAAATCTTATTTCTTGCACCCTGCATGTTCCAACAAATAACTTTAATTTTAAATTTATTATTTGATAATAAATCCAAACTATCCAAATTATCTATTCTACTCTGATTAATGATAGCTTTCACTGTATGATATGTTATTTAAGTAATTTCTACATATAAAATAGTGTCAACCAAACAATCATTAGTGAAACTATATGTAAAATTCTTATTTTTATAAATTATATAATCATTTCTTAACATCACATTTAATCCTTTCTTTTTTGTTTCTATATATAATGGTAATATTTTTCTCCTTCATTCTCTTGTTTCTTGAGTTAAATTAGAACTAATTCATAAATTATTGAGAAGCTGATCACAAGACCCTTTTTTATGATTATAAAAAGCTGATAATATTTTATTTTTTCTTGGCATGGAACTTAACTCTATTTTAACAACAGAAGGGTCTGCCTTTCTTATAAAATAAAATCCAATTATTTCTTCATCTTTTATTTCATCGAGTTTCAAAGAATACCTTATACATATTTAAGAGAGATTCCTTAATGTTCACATTATCTGACAATGGATAACCAAATATTATCAAATTATGTTGGTTAGATAAATTTAATAAATTATTTGCATTGTACAGTACTGTTGTATTCCAAATGCCTGTCAATATCTGGTAAAGACGATTCTAATTTATTAACTTTCTGTTCTAGAATTTTGACTTTAGCTTTAAATTCTTTGATATCTTGATGAATTAATTTAACTAACCTCCAATTTTACTTCTGATAGTTGTTCCATAATCTTACAGTGAGATATTTAGTGTTGCCACAAGCTGGTTTTTTAAATTTGTGGTTGGGATTAATTATTAATTTATTCAGTTTTTGTAGAAATTGTGAAATTATGATGAAACAAAATAAATTTATAAAAACATTTGCAAGTATTTTATTTTAACGGTTAAAGCCTTTAACTTCACACCCCCCAAACTTATCCTCATCTTATTGCTAGGCTAAGAGCGACAGAAAATGTACTTTTAAAATTCTAACTTGCAAATATCTCTGGCAAATATTAGGTTTGTTCCAACACAAGTCCCTAACTGATTTAAAACTGGAATGCACATTGTTTAGTTCTTGGTTGTAAAATGACATTACACATGCCTTGTATGGTTTCAAATTCAAACTAGTCAGGGACTTGTGATGGAACAAACCTATTGTCCGGGTCAGCAATTTTGAAAAGGTGGCAACATTAGAGATACTTGTATTAACTTAGTCATGTAGTGAAAAGTAACTTCCATTGAGGATTCCTCACTCTCCATAGTTCAACACATAACTTCAAAACTAACCTCCTTCTCTACCTCACGAACTCCCTTTTTTCCATAACAGAGGATGTTCCAAGTGGCTTACAAAACATTGTTTCTATAATAGCTGACTTAGTCACTTTAAGTGCATTACTACTACTTGTTAGAGGTGGCCGTCCTCTTTTCAATAGAGAATGGGAGAGTTTTGTTCTATACCCGCTATTATCAGTAAAATCCCAAGTATTATCATTAGAAATATCTGTATTTGCCATCAGACCATCTTAGACTCTTCACTCAAATCAAACCAGAAAGGTACACTTAGATTTGCACCAACACTGACAACCATCAGAAATGCCCCCACCATTATAACTATTATTATTAAGACTGCATATAAAATTTTCTTTCAGTAAGTTACAATTATTATTTTAAAGTAAATTGATAATAAGAGATTAAGAGATTTCTAGAATTTTACCTTAGATGAAGTTGTACTACAAACAGTACCCTGTGTATTAGTTACAGTTGTTGTTTCAACTACTACTTCTGGTTCAACAATAATTTCATGGGAGGAATGGCACGAACCTTGCTCTTCTGAAATTGTTGATAAAGAAATTTCAGAATTAATGCGAGGATAAATTCGTCTTTTAAATGGCCGACTTCGCTGAATACGTTCACAAAGTGGTGAAGGTTCAGGAGTTGGCGTCGAGATACGATTTGGATCATCATGAGGTATAATCTGAAAAAATTTTTATTATGTATAGTGTTCTTGATAATTAAAACAGTATAGTATATATTGCAAATATTCTGGTGTTAAATAAAAAATTTTAATGTTATTAATAAATTTTTATATTATGCTATATACATTGCTTACCTCACCAGGAGGCCCCAGAATTGAAAGTAGAATTGGAAAAAATAATAAGCCATTCAGTGCACCAAGAATCATAAGTGCAAGCAGTACATAGAAAAAATACCTATAAATAATTTTATTTCATTAAATTTTAACCAAAAAATATTTAAAGACATTTTTTTTTAATTTTTAAATAATAACAAAGCTATGTTTATAAATAGTATTGTAGCATCATTGAAATTCTATAATTATATTTTTAATAAATAAAGTTATGAAGACTAATTATTTGTATTTGTAATCAATCTTTTTACATTAACATAAAAAAATCAAATGATAAAAAATTTCAATCAAAAGTATTCTTATATCAAATTTTTTGACCTTACACTTTTCGTGTAAGGTCAAATTTCTTTTGAATATGAAACAGTTAAATCATGTCTGATTTCAAGTTTACAAAATATGAATATGCATAGCCAAACTAAAATAGACATAATAACTTGGGATTAGAATGGGTCAAAAACAAAAAACAAAATAACTAGCAGAAAGAAATCATCATTTGATTGCATAAAGATAAAAAATCTTAGAGAAAAATTTAATAGAAGTTTTGCAATAGTTCAACATATAATTAAGAAATTGAAAAATGAAAATTTAGTATATAATTCTACAAGTAGTAGTTGATAAAGAAAACTGACAAGAAAAAAAGGAAAATCATGTACATTTAAGTAAAATAATAGACAAAATGATAAATAAATTAATAATTATAATTACAACTGGAATTCATATACTCTGGAAAAGATTTTCCATCAGAATATTAATGTCATAAATGGCAAAATACTACCTACAAGGTCATTCAAATATGATTTCTGCACTAGGGAAGGAAATAAGTAAAAATTTTATGATGGGGTGAGAGATATTAGTGTAATCTTGATGTCCTAAAGATTCTCAAAAATTTTCATATTTGAAATAAATTTTTAACCAAAATCATTATGCAAAAGTACAGTATTATGATCAATGATCACACAGCAAATTTTGTTTATTTAAATAGTTGAAGCACTGTACAAAATATGCATTGTTGGAAATGCTCTAGTGGAATTTTTATGAAAGGATATTGGCAACAATTTAACCTTTATAGATACAGATAAAAATATCACTGAAAGATATAACAGAATATAACACATTAACTTTAGCAGAGAGGAGCAATGTTTTTAAGTGTTCATGCCAAAATCATCAAATCCAAGATGCAAAATTTTCTCACATGCTAACTGAAATTTTTGGGAGCAATACTTGGTATAGCAGCTAGACAATACTACAGGAAAGCTACATGTAGCAGATTTTTTGCTAAGCTGGTAACACTGTTTGCAAGTCAGTATATTGCAGAGATAGCAGTCTTGGAAATAAGTTGTTTATTTCATTTTCTTATTACTTATTATTACTAAAACAATAAAAAAATAAAATAGTTTTAAAATTAACCTTACAATGGCAGAAGATATGATTAAATTAATGAACTATATGTATTGTAGATCTTTTTTACAAAAATTCTTAATATTGGGAATGGCAGCTCGATTATAACATCAGCATGAGGAGGTTTAAAAATTGGTGACAAAATGTAACAAGGAGGGTAGATAGTCAAAAAGGACTTAAAATTGGTGACATCATATTCCTCTATATTCCTAATGTGTGAGAGACATAGATTTGAATCACTAAGAAATTTCTTTTCTAGAATTTTTGAAATTATTAAAAGTACATTTATTTAATTAATAATGTTAATTATTAATTAAATAAATGTACTTTAAAATATATCATATTTTCAAATTTGAAACTATGTATCAATATTTCTCACAATTATGAGTATATTTAACATAATGATAAATAGTAATATTCCAATATAGTGATAATTTTATTAAAAATAAAAGTTCGAAAATATATCAAAATCAACTAAGATAAATTCTAAAAGTGTTATCATTTTAAAATATTATACTGTAACTTAATAGCAAAATTTTAATATAAAATATACAAACCTGACAATAAAATCAAATTCTGAAAATGCTAGCATCATCACACCCAAAACTGATGACAACGTGCCATGAACTACTGGACAGAACATATATTCTAATGATTTTCCTATTCTTTGATTTCTATCTCCAATACTTGTTAGAAAACCCTGAATTAAAATTAAAATCATAATATATACTTTCAATATATTAAAGAGATAAAACAAAAATTAAAAAATTAAATATGTACATACAATGAGTATGTGAACTGTAAATTCTACTCCAATTCCTATTGCAACTACAAGAATAACAGCAGGTACCGCACTGAATTTAATTCCTAAGATTCCCATAAGACCAAATAGTTCTATATCCATCACAGATATTACAAATACCTGTAAAAATTTAATCAATCAATTAATTTATAAATTACAAAGTCTTTTTATAATACAATAATAATAATGTTTAAAATACAATTTTTATAGGATGATGCAATTAAAATTAAACTGTTTAAAAATTGGTGTCAATCCTACAGAAAATATAGCATGCTAATTAAAAATATCAAATTATTATTAATAGATGTCAAGTATAATATCCATGATATAAAGTCACTTATATGATAAGGATCTTCATAACTTTTTCGGCTAAGATATTTTCATATGGTTCATAAACTTATAATTAGCATTGCCATTATACTAAAATACAAGTATTGTACAATATTGCCAATAATTGTTTCATTTATATGATCAATTGAATTTCTCAAGTTTTCAAATAAATAAATAAAATGGAGAAAAATATTATGTAGAATCATTACTAATGCAATTTATAAGGAAATTATTTAATAAAGTCTATTATTTATAATCATTTCTTTCAGATAGCTCAACAGCTAAGACAGTTAAGGTCTGCTCTCAGAGGCCTGAAATTAAAATATCTTGGAAATTTTTCATGGGTGATCTATCCCAGATGCATTAGACCTTGTGCATCACCATTCAGTCATCCCCATTATGGGTTCGGCCAAGCTCACAATGGGTAAGGAAGAAAGAGTAAAAAGTATATACATGCACGTTTATACATTTCTTTACATTTATTCATATATTTATAATAATTTAAATTTTTGATACATTAATATGCACCATTTTTGTTTATTCCTTCCACCAATTATAATAGCATTATCATTACATATTATTTTTGCTATGATATGTTGTATAACTCTAATTACAAATTATTTTGTAATGCAAATAAATTCAATTTTGAGTCTATTTTTTTAAAATGTTATTAAAAGTATAAAATATCTAGAATCTATCACAGCTTTGTACTAGAACAAATTAAATATAATCAAATTATAGCTGAATGTTTTCCTCAGTTTTTTATTAACTATATCAAACATTACTTTTTAGATTATACAGAAATTGTAATGAAATGTTTAATGTCTTCAAAGAAATTTTAACTTTATCTTCATATTATACTTTATATTCAAAAAATTTAAAAAATCTTTAAATTAATTTTATATCAATAGATTCATAATTAAATTAAATATCAAAAAGTTGTTCATATTTAATATATTTTAAAAAGAAAAATAAAACTTATAATATAAAAATTTGTTTCGGCTATAATAATAGCAAGGTTGCGGCTGAAATTTTCATCTCTAAAATGTGAACGTGAAACATTGAGCGCCGCTTACAAGATAGCAGTGCTCGACGTTCATGTTCACATTTTACAGATGAAAACTTTGGCCGCAACCTCGCTAATATTCTGTCAAATCTAATATACGATCTACTGAATTTATGATTACAATCCCTTCTGACATGTATCATTAGAAATTGCTTCTTATTCATGATTTGTTATTAATCATGCAGATTTCAATAAACAATAGATTAAGAAAAAATTAACAGATCTGCCAAATAATAATAATAATTTAATCTAAACAGATAGTCATTTTAGTAAAGAAATATCATTTCAGATAGAGTAAGTAGATCATATTTTAGATAATTCATTTCTTTTTTTAATTTTATAGTATATAATGAGCTGTAAACTTACAACAATGCTAGCTGCCCAAGGATTGAAAAGGATGATAGAGAGCACAAGAAATACTGTCATTAATACACAGAGCAAAGCTAATAGTAAATAGAAACGCAGTCCAATATACTGTTCCCAATAAATAAATGGAATACCAGTAGGAAAATTAGGAAGGCCTTTATCCTGAAATTTATGACATATCTTTCTTATTTCCTCTATAGTTGTAGTGATATCACGAGTAGATGCCATCTTATTCAAATAAAAAGGCATTTGAGTATAAATCAATGGTTGTGATTTAGGAATTTTTAATTCAACATCCTGTCTGTCATGTATCCATTGTCTTGGTTCTGGTCTAAGATTTGCTTGAGAAGCAGAATATGCTAAGGCATCATTTGAAACCCAAGCAGTAAGATAGTTGTAAAAAGCTTTTGGATTTATGATTCCATTTTCATCGACTAATTTCACTGCCATCACCTGAATAATAAAAATGTATTTTAAAAAAATAAAATAAAAATATTTTTCAAAAAATATTACTATAAAACTTACTAATGATTTGTCAATTGGGTTATCAACTCGACCAGTTTGTACTAATAATTTATATGCTAAAATTCCTTCATCTGATGCATTTTTATACCACCTTTCTTGAGTTATACATCCATTCTTCCAATCTTGATCAAATGCTGTTTGTAAGGCTATAAATAAAATTTATTATTTATAAAATGTTTTTATTCGTCAATATATTTGAAAACTAATACTTACATTTTAACCAGTCTCTGAAGTATAGTAACCAAAATTCTGGTAATCCTCCATCATCATTTTTAATGATGTTGTCAATTCTTGTAAATGTTTCATGATATTCATATAGTAATTTTTGGTTTGTTGGATATTCAAAATTTCCTTGAGTGACAGCAAACATATTAAAAAATCCAAAATATTTCTTTTGTATACTTAAAAACTGATATTCATTCGTATGAAATGGTACAATATCTGTTAGATCCAAGCCATCATCAATTTGTACCACACCCCATATACTAGGTGTCAATCCTACAGAAAATATAGCATGCTAATTAAAAATATCAAATTATTATTAATAGATGTCAAGTATAATATCCATGATATAAAGTCACTTATATGATAAGGATCTTCATAACTTTTTCGGCTAAGATATTTTCATATGGTTCATAAACTTATAATTAGCATTGCCATTATACTAAAATACAAGTATTGTACAATATTGCCAATAATTGTTTCATTTATATGATCAATTGAATTTCTCAAGTTTTCAAATAAATAAATAAAATGGAGAAAAATATTATGTAGAATCATTACTAATGCAATTTATAAGGAAATTATTTAATAAAGTCTATTATTTATAATCATTTCTTTCAGATAGCTCAACAGCTAAGACAGTTAAGGTCTGCTCTCAGAGGCCTGAAATTAAAATATCTTGGAAATTTTTCATGGGTGATCTATCCCAGATGCATTAGACCTTGTGCATCACCATTCAGTCATCCCCATTATGGGTTCGGCCAAGCTCACAATGGGTAAGGAAGAAAGAGTAAAAAGTATATACATGCACGTTTATACATTTCTTTACATTTATTCATATATTTATAATAATTTAANAAATATAATTAATAATTTAATACTGTAATTATATTTACAATTTTTAAACCTACAGTAGAACCCTGATTATCAATACTACATTAGGTAACCAAGAAACTCAAATAAAACAGACAGCCATGGCCAATAATGGATTCAGAAATCTTTAGAGGGGGTACAGAAAAAAAGCAATAAACCTCACAAAATGTTTTACTACCTGATGTAGTACAGTACATGGCTTTACTAGAGAAAAATCTCAGAAAAGGTGCAGCTGCATCCTGTGCACCTCCCTAAATCTACTCCTAGCCATGGCCATTTTGAATTAAAATGTATAATATGAAAGATTTAAATAGCACTTTCAAGTCTCATTTTATACATTGATGTATTTAATCATATATAAGAACAACAATTTTTACATCTTTAAATGTTATAGGTAATACATGTAATAGTTTTAAGAGTAAAAATATGTATTATTGTAGTTATATTTGAGTATAAATTTGTTTATCTCATTACTAGCATAGCGAGGGGGGAGCAAGGGGGTCTTATCATGCCCTGGGCGCCACTTGCAGAGGGGTGCCAAATGGTCTCCAAGACAGACAAGATTTTTTTCTGGAGGGGGGAGGGGGCATCAATAAAGTATCGTGCCCTGGGTGCCAGTTATGTTTGCTACGCCACTGTATCTCACATTGAAGTTAAATAATAAAGGTAAGCAGAAACAATTCATTTTGTAATACATGTTATTGTTTTAAATTTTTGTCAATGAATTACTGAATAAGAAAAGTAGTGTATTCACTTAAGATTTGCCATGGATAATGCAAAACCTCAGTTACTCAGACTCAGATAATTGGAGTTTTATTGTATGTGTTTAACATATTGTGAGGGCTAAACTATTGATTTAAATTAAGCTCTGAATTCCTTTAGATTTGTAAATTGGATTAAATGCCTAATCTCAATTTTTACCCATTATATGGAGATAATCAGAAGTGTAATCAAGCTCAAGATGAAGAATAGAAAATGAAGCCCTAACCTGAATTGTCTGTAAGAGATCACAAGTGTACAGATTAAATTCAAAATCAGCTTATGTGATATAATTATATCATATGGAAAAGTTCTTTATTGTACAGCAGTGCTTTTAAAAAGCACTGTTTTATAGTAACATCTATGTTATAATGTTGAAATTACAGAATTGGTTTAAGCACGCTTCAAATGTTATTTTAAAGTTTATGTACTAGTTATTTGGCTGGCTGTATGTTTACATTTAACATTATAAATTTTAAAAAACAAAAATACTAAATTTTGGATTGTTTCTCTGTGATAGCATTACTAATAATCACAAATGAAATTTTATTCGTTCCTTTAAATCAGTGTTTCCCAATCTTTTCAGATTGCCACCCTACTTTAGTGCACATATTTCTTTAGCATCCCTATTAAATCAGTCAATTATGAAACATTAAAAAATAAATTTTGATAAAAAAGTTTTTAACTTAAGTATTTATTTTATAAATGAAAAAATAACTATCTAAAAGTAACTTAAAGTATGTTATTAATTAATATGAGGTCATATGTCTCATAACTTATAGTGTATTTGTTTGAATATAATTTTTCTTTCTGCTATTCTGTTCTATTCCGTATTTTAAATATCAACATGTAACTGGTTCAAACACCATTATTCTCTAGGAATTATCACATCCACAGACTCTAAAAATACTAGCCAATAACAACTTGCATCTAGGTAAAATAAAGTTGTTAATTGGCTTGTATTTTTGAAGTCTGTGGATGTGATAATTCCTAGAGAATAATGGTGTTTGAACCAGTTACATATTGATATTTTTTGAAGTTTGATAATAAATTTTTTTTTGTTTCAAAATAAATTTTTGTTTTCCTTCTTCCAAAACTCCCACACCCTTGCCTCCAAGCACCCTCTCTTAGTCTTCTACAGCACATTGAGGATGGAAGCACCCACTTTGGGAAACCACTTATTTAAATGTATAAAAAAAATTCCAATCTGAACAAATTTCTAAACATTCTCATTACCTAAATAGAAATAAACTTATATTATGGGCCTAAAATTCTCTACATTATAATTCCTTCCAAAATGTTTTTGGCATTTTTATCAAAGGATATTTCTGAAATTTTTCAAAGAAAAATACAAAACAAACGTTGGAATCCAAGTAATATTCAAAACACTTTTTTTTTTCTTGATGGCTTATAAGAAAAAGTGTAGTTACAACTACACTTTTTTCTTATAAGCCATCACATAATAATATATCTCTTCTAGTTTTTAAATTCTACAAAATCAAATAACTACATAAACCTGCAATAAACTATAACAAATAATACAGATAGCAACAAAAACAATATTTCAAATATTTATTGTTCTTCAAGGTATTATTTTCAAATTATTTGTTTACATTTTGCAGCCTATATATCTATGTAATTATCCAATTCCAGTTCTTCATTATTATTAAAGGTGAAATATCTTGCGATTCAAGGATGACAGTTTTTGAGGAGACATTTATTGTAGTAATTAAAAAAAAAGAGAGATATCTTTCAAAGATGGAAAAATTCAATGAATATTATAATAAATTTGCACTTCACGCCGACGTATACTATTACTATAACACTTGCGTGCAGTGGCGTTACAAGAGTGGAGTTCCAGATACGGAAATTTATCTGACTTTTGGAGAAAGGTCTTATCTGCTAGCACTTTCAGTAGTCATCCATCATCAGGTGGTACATAGAATATGATAGTTTAAGCTTTCCAAATGATATTCCGGATAAGACCTTTCTCCAAAAGTTGGATAAATTTCCATATTCGAACCTCCACTCTTGTAATGCCACTGCATGTAAGTGTTATAGTAATTCAATGAATATTAAATAACAATTTAAAAATTATTATTATTATTTTGTACTAATTAAGATAAATTTTTAAATATATTAATTTTACCTGAATTATTTTTTTCTGTCCAACACTCAGTTCTATGAGGAGGAGCTAATACAGTCACAACATGGCTACAATCAGGAGGTAAAGCATGCGTAACTGCTTGACGTTTAGGAGAACCAGGAACAGTATTACATACTGAGGTAGGTGTGTTATTTAAATTTTTTACAGTAGTTTTAGTTCTGAAACAACTTAATTGTTCCCTATAAAATAAAGTTTTATTAGAGCTTTGTAGTATATTATTTTTAATTATATTAATAAATAAAATTAACATACACACTAAAACAGCATAATATATCAACTCTTTTTGCATTCCTTCTTCTTAGATCTAAGCTAAGAATTGCTGGAAACACTACTAACATAATTGCTAAATTAAATAAAACTAATATAGCTGTTTGAAGAACAAATGATCTAAGAGCTGGTATTGGAACTATAGCTGCAATAAAAAATGCACACATGTTGATTATTGATGTCAACATTACACTAATTCCACTTCTTTTCAGACATTCTCCAGTTTGATTCTAAATTAAAAAAACTTTTCTTTGTATAATGTTAATATTTCAAATTTCTATTATGTTAAAAATATAATAAAAACAATTTAAAACTCTTAATTATATTTACAAGCAATCATTATTTAAAAAAAAATATAATATATGTTATACATAAATACAGTGAAACCTGTTAATGTGACCACCTGCATAAAGTGGCCACTTTGAGCTGCTCCCTTCATTAGCAGGTTTCACTGTATAGTATATATATAATAACCACATGTCTAAATATATAGAATACTAAGTAACAATCTCTATAAAATATTTTGAATTAAGGAAAATTTTGGGAAAACATTTACATAAGATTTTTTTAGTTTTACTTTTTTATAATTAAAAGTTAAATTTTACATACCTCAATAGGAATATTTGAACTAGCATTTTCTGTATAAGTATGAGCCAAAAGAAACATATCATTCATTCCTAAACCAAGAGCAAAGAAAGGAACAATCTGCACAATAACAAAGTTAAAAATATATTTAAGATTTATTTAGATTTTAATATAATTTTAAATGTATTTATTTATTTATTTACTTCTAAATACCTGAGTAGTTGATGCGTTAAAAACTATTCCAATTAAGGCACAAAATCCTAATCCAGAAGCTATAGATATAACAATAAGAATGACACCTGCAATTCCAACTCCACTCTGTGATGTAAGTGGTTCTGACCAGTGAAGTAGAGAAAGATATGCATAAACTAACTGAAAAAGATCAGTTCAAATATATTAGAATTTATAACTGTCTATGAAAAATGAAAGCTTTTTTAAAAAAGTATGATTATACCATTAATAAATATCCCACAGCTACTCTTGTCACACTTATTTCAGAAAAGCCTTTTAATATATCAGTAAGAGAAACTGTAGAAAATGAACAAATGATGTACGATTTGGTTATATTTTGATTTTGACTGAATTTTTCCATTGTCTGTAATAGTAATATAAATGTTATTTAATCAATCATTATAATAAAAAATTAAACATAAAAGCATTTAATAAAACTTAAAAATTCAAAAATAATACAAATTTCAAAAAATTCTTATTTTGAAATTTAAATATGATTCTTTTGAGAAAACATAAGTGTTAATATAGTAATAGTTTTTTAATATCTTTAAGAAATTTAGTTCTTAATTTAAAACTGTTTCAATCTATTATAAAGTTTTAAAATAAAAATATTCAATTCAACAGAATTCAAAATTCTTGAATTTAAATCTAAGATTTTGTTAAACAATTTTTTAAAGAAAAAACAAAATTTATAACTTGTCATTATATTCAATTTAGCTTTTAACTATTGTGTAGATGTATTTATATAATGAGATATAAAATTACAAAAATTCTATACAAAAAATGTAAATAAAAAAGTTTTAATGATAATTATAATAGGAAAGGTTTTTAATTATGTTAAAAGACAATACCTGAGAAGATGCAAGAGTATTTTATATGGACAGAATTTGGCATGCAATAGACCATAGTTCATCCCATATCTGGTGAACAGAGAATTAATGTTAGTATTGTTAGCAATAATAAATTTATGTACAATCTTTAATTTCAAAAGAAAATGTTTTATTTACTATAAAAGATTGTTTTAAATTGGAAAATAAAATTATCTTTCCAGCTGAAGATATTTTATTATGAAAACATTATCAAAGAATACATTTGATTTTATGAATGCAATTAATTTATTATAAAAAATAAAGTTATATAAGAAAAGAAGTAAATAACAAATGCTTAACTATTACAATATCTTTATTTTAATGAACTAAATTCTGTTATAATTTTATATAATTTCTTAAATTTTCTTTATGATAAATTTCATTGTTTATGGTTTAATTTTAACATTCTTCCTGCATTAAAAAAAGAAGAAGAAAAATTCTTAAAAAACACATCAAAATTTATATATAAATTTTAAAAATTTAATTATTAAATTTAATTTAAATGCATTACATCAAATATTTAAACGTTTAGCTCTATTCTTTTCAAGATTATTTCAAATAAATACATGCAATTATATATTTAGTTGAACTTTGTAATAGAAAGTTAATTTATGACAGTGATAAAATTTTTAATATATTTGAATTTTTAACTAGCAAATTAAATTATATTCTTATGTATTATTCTTCTTTTTAAGATTACACTTCAAATATGGAAATCATGATTAATTTATAAAAAAATAAATTCTTAATCAACCTAGCAATTAAATCCATTAAATTAAATATTGATTTAATGCCATTATTCTAAAATATTAACTATATATAAAAATTCTGAATATATCTGCATTTTTATAAAATATTATATTAAATATAAATCATATTTAAAAATATTAAATACCTTAGAAAACTTTCTTTGCCATTTTTCTAATATCATTTTTGCTTTTTCTAAAGACCAATCTAAGTTATGAGTTTTATAAGTACTTTTCCAATATTCAAACATTTCTCTTTCACCCATTAACTGAATTATTGTTTGTAAAGCTTCTCCTCTGTAATTTAAATTTAAGATTTTAATTTAGAAATTTAAAATTACTATTTATAAAATTAAACACTAATAATAAATATTAATACACACTGCATGATATTTACTTTATAATATGCCCAGTTTTATTTTTTATTACTCCCCCAATAATCATATCTTCTGGCCAGTGCATGTATCTAGTAGCAAATCCGTAGCATCCACCTGTTAACTCAGCTCCGATATTTGGTGCCTTAATTATATAAAAAAGTTATATAATATTCTGTTTTAAAAATATATATATGTAAGATATATTGTAAGATATTTGCACGTATAACTAATCTACCTGTTTGGTTTTTTTGTTTGGAGCAGTTTCAGGACATTGAACATCATTAGGATTTAAACAAGGTTTTTCCTGATAAGCTGTTGTAATTCCTGCCTAAAATTATATTTAATATTTACCATATTTTTAAAATTTTTAGGTGTTTATACATATATTATTTATTTATTTAATTTATAATTAAAAATTAATTTTTAAAANAGTTTTGGTCTGACTCATTAAATTTTATTACTTCTGCTGATGAATAAAAATAATTCATTTAGAATTTTAACAACTTCCTGACACAAATATATTTTTTAATGAAAAGAAATATTCAAAGAATAAGGAGACAATGTATTGAAAAAAGTTAAGAATCGTAATTAACAGAACTTGTGGTTTCTCAACCACTAAACAAAGTCCATTGTTTTCTTTCCAGCACCTGTAATTTTCGGAAATAATCAACTAAATGTACCCAATACACCTGCCATTCTTTAATAAGACAGTAATAAGGTTAATAATCCATTTCAGTGCACAAAAGAATAGAAGCTCTTCATTAAATCATATAATTTATTTCAACAATGCTAGTTATTTCATTTTATTGAAATCATTTATTTGATAAATTATAGTTTTTATTCCATAATTTAATCCAAAAATAACTACTTACTCTCTTCATAAAATCTTCTAAGGTGTGAAAAGGAAAGGAGGAGACATAACTTCCAAAATTTTTCATAGTTTGTGAGAGCCACTGGGGATTGAGACTGGTCCATTGAACAACTTGGCCAAATCCTCTGGGAAATGAAAAAATATATATACAAAAAGTTATATATAATGTCATATCATAGTTATGTGCTTATTCAATACTCAAACAAAAGTATATTTTATGTTTATAAACAACTGATAACATTAAAAAGACCCCTATGAATTCATTTTAGGAAAAAAATAAGAAATATGTCCACAATTTATATTCAACATTATCATTTAAATATAATATGAGGCTAATAATAATTAGAAAATCAATCATACTAATACTCACGGTATATTTAACGGTATATCGGGACCTAGCAGCTTGGAACCTTCCCAGAAACAATCCAGAGGTGTGATAAGTGCGCAAGGAAATAGTTTTTCAAAGAGCTATGAAAAAATTAATTACAATATTTTAATTTTTGAAAAAAAATGAACTAATTATTTTTTTACTAATTCATTATACACCCGTTTAGCACGTGTTATCCGATACACCTTTGACAGTGAAGTACAGTAATTAAGTTGACCAACGAAGCTAGGTGAAGAAAGCATTACAGTACCTGTTTTTTTGTTTCAAACATTTCCGGAAACACGAGCTTAAACTCTTGCAGAGATTAATAATATATAAAAGCTATACTAAAAATGTAGTATTTTACTAACCGAATTTAAATAAGGAGTATCAAAGTCTGGAATAGTGGGAGAGTAGCAGAGATCCTTCAAGCTCCAAGTTCTGTAAGATATAAATTTACATGTATTTTATATGCCAAACTTTTCTTATCGGGAAAAATAATTCTACGAATGACTTACGAATCAAAAAGATCAACTGTAACACGTGTGGCTTCTAGAGCAGCTTCCAGATGAAGCAATAATGTTTCAGAATTTAAAACATTCCCTCCTTTAATTCTTGGTGTTTGAACCAGTAATTGATTAGTGCTACCTGCACCTTCTCCTAAAGTAGTGCGGATATACCTCTGTTCTTTCTCCAATCTTCCACCTTCTGTAATTTCATAATAATTCATCTTAAAGTTTCAAAATTGAGTAACGTTTTCGTTGTTATCCAAAATAAACATCGTATATGTAACTAAACTTATATTTGAGACCACCTTTGAATCAAAATAACAAAAAAAAAATCCATCAGGTGGTCTTTCATCTCGTCTAGTGATTAAATGCCAAAGAAAGAAAGAAAGAAAAAAAAAACCAAAGTGGGTGGTCCCACCATCAAAATGTTTATATCTTTTTTCGATGCTAACTTGTATATATTTATAAAATTATATTTGCCAAATTTTTTTAAATTATTCTCTTCGTGTTTAGTTTATCCTTCTGTTTATCTGGACTTTTTTAAAAAATACCAGATAACCGCTGTAATGTTTTCTTTCGGGTAAGAGCGATGTGAAAATGTCAGCTACCCGAATGACGTCACGCACTTCATTGATGAAAGTTAAAATCTTCATCTTTAAAAGTTGTAAATATAATCGTTTGGTATCTCTTAAACTAGCACAAAAGTATCTAAAATATTATCTGATTATAATAATATTTAGTTTACATTTCTCAGCCTAAATTGTACAACGAAATTAATTTTTACGCGCTCTATTTTCATTTTCTCTGTTACCTTAAATACAATAGTAATTAGTACGTTTTTACTGATAGCTGTTAATAAGAAAAACGTACGTTTAAAGAAAATGTAATAGTACAGATAATTTATTTAATTATGAAAATTCGATTACTTCGAGTTTTGGTAGTAATTTTCCGTTACGAAGGGAATACTTTGGAATCTATAACTAACGTCACTATCTTCCATTCTCGGGATGCGGTCAAACCCGTGAATGGTTGTGAACATCATCTCAAGGTCAACCAGTGCGTCACACTCGAAAGATGGCGTCAACTTAAGCCTAATCACCGTAGCAATGAGCAGAATGACCAAAACCACGAGAGTATCGAACTCTAGTATAAAAGGTAAATACCGTTTTACTACATTCGGCTTGCTCTTAACAATAAAATGAGATAATAAATAAGACTTACCCTCTACCCACAACCTTTCTACGTTGGTTTCCATCGAAGCAGTTTTTAAACCGACACAAAAAGATGAAAGAATGAGAATTCCTACAAAAAGTACTTTTCCGGCATTCCTTTGTATGAAACATCCCAGTTGAAACAATTGCATTTGAATTTTGCTCCTTAGCCATAATGCCGCTTTATTACCCGATGCTTTATCCTAAAAGAAGAGAGGGGAAAAAAAAAACAGATAAAAATGATTTATGACTTATATGTAAAATGGACAGATTTTAAAATGTCCGTAAATATTATATACAATACTGTAATCAATACGACCCATTCACACTGGTGCCGACAAATTTAGTAAAAATCGACACGTGATTGTACTCACCTTATTGATTTGCGACAAAGCAGTTTTCGCATCTGCCCAACTGGTCCTGGTCAGCAGGTCGTTGTCTATTGTAGATTTGCAATATTCCGTTGTCTTCTGTAATGGTACCAATGTTTTCATTTGAATCATTTTGACACAGAGGCCATTTTGGACATCCAGCGGTAACTGGCCCGTTTTAAATCCTTAACCAGTCTACCATATTTTTGTGTGTGTATGTATTTTTCTTTTTTTTCTTATATTAAAATAGTTATAATTATCACTGCAGATTACATAAAAGTATGATTAAAAAAAATTTTTTTAAATCACATAATTGGTACGGTAAGCAACCGAATGAGTAACAGATCATCCACCACCATCCTGTGCATTGACCAAAATGCTTCTCTGGCTCTCTTCCAACTTTTAACTCCTCCCAATCCGAGTCCTGATGTTGATTAATGACAGGCAGTACTACGTCCCTATTGGATAGATGTTCTTAACAGCTACAGGGGGAAGGCAAAAACCTAACATTAGTTGCTAGGCAACGGTCTTTCGTGGCAGAAGACCACACACATCGTAAGGAAATCTGGGCTAAACGTGTACGTTGGTTTCAAAAACAGGAAATTTTTCTCCATACAAACAAACAACCGATATAAAACGTTAAAATAAAATATAGAATAATGACTTATATGTAAAAAATATAAGGAATTTTTAACAATCATCTTTTAAAGAGAAAAAAAATAATTAAGCGAATGGTTATCATTTTAACTTATATTTTTTCGAAACTATTTCATTACATCTTAATGACATTTAATAATAATAAAAAATATTTTAAAAAAATTATGGGGTTGTTAAATATTTCTACCGCTTAACTAAAACACTTTGTTTATATTTTATGTACCCTCCTCTGTAAATCAAACTGAGGAATGATAGAAAATTACGTCTCTATCGGTGCTTTAATTTCTCACCAATTATTTTTAGTAGTGACGCAAAGTTTGATCACTTGTACGGTTTTCTACGGACGGATCGAATTGATTTCCGACTGACACAATAAGGCTTCGGGCGGAAATGACGTCATGACAGGTGTAGGGATAGTGTAGCTCACCTGCCGGTTGAGTAGCAAAGCAAGTTTGTTCTCATTAACACAGAATCGGTTGGATGTACACTTAAATAACTATCAACCACTCTCTCTCCCTTTAACAAGCGGAAATTCCATAGGTTAAATTTTTTAGCGCCTTTGTATAATCATTAGGAGTGATCCTAATTAAAAAAAAAAAACTTAATAAAGGAATATGTCTTAATCCAATAACAAAAACTAACGATCTTATGTCATTATTTACAATTGTCAAGTGTTGTAACTCTACAGTAACTAATTGTACGCAATTTGCTTATGTTTGATAATACGTGTTGCCATCTGGTGACAGTTAATATAAACAGAGAATTAGAATTTTTTTAATTAATTAATAATTTAATTTTCAGTAAGAACTAATAAGTTAGTTAATTATGCAATTATTTCACTAATGACTTTATTATAAAAAAAATCTTATTATAAGCCATTTAATTTAACATTATATATATAATATACAGACTATAGCTTGAATGGAAACCAGCTGATTATTTAATATTTAATCAGTAATTTACTTGAAATTACTGTTGAAAGATTGCATGCGAAAAGAGATACGTTATTCACGAATAACTTAACTTTTGGTCACGATCTCTACTAGTTAATAGAGACATCAACCTTAATAAACCTCCTGTTGTAACCTATATAATACTATATAATTGGAATGTGCAAATGATAGAATACCCGTCGTGTCAAGATCGTCCAAATTGTATAATGAGACCTTTCATTTCCTTAGAAGATTTTACTTTAAATAATTTAAATTATTAACTATATCATATTCATCAATAGAGAGAATATTCAGAAAAGATAGAAGAATACTGTATTTATGAAGGATATATTTTCTCCTTATCTTTCTATGATATTTCAGATCAGATGATTGAAAAATAAGAATAAAAATGTTTCTTATTTTGTTATTGATGATGTGACGCAGCAGAACTCGTCGTAACAACATTGTTACGCACAGAACGCAGTAGGTGCCATCATTAAGGCTGACAACAGGGATATTTTATGGGGACGCAGTAAGACCTCATAAATATGCGAGTAGTGACATAGATGATTACTTAGACCACCTAGTACATAATGCAAGCTTGTCAAGAGAATGAAAACGTTTCGGTAAAGAGAGCAGATTAAGCAGTATTCGTCCTTGAAATATTACCAACTTCCTTGGACAAACAAATGACTTTTTAATAAATTAAAAGAAAATCCTCACTCTTAATAAAGGTTATATTTTTTTCTCCTCAATTTAAAGCTGGTTTTATTATATTTAAGACACGATAATCAATATAAAAAGAAGAATATTACCATTTATAATGTAAAGAATGTTAAATTTCTCTTTCACTTGTATAAAGATTGTAAATGTTTCTAATGTTTCTAAGCTTTATTTAAATTAATGAAGAAAACTATTCTAAAATTTTATATACAAAATTTTATATACAAATTCATTTCTCCTGTTAAAAATAAAGACATTTTAATAAATTGTTTGTTTTCTTGATTCAATGTAACGTAAATGTAGTTTTATTATTATTTTTGTAATGGGTTTTGTAGGGTATCGACTAACATATCTTTCTCTAACTTGAAAGCAATAAAATGAGATAGCTTGGTTTGACGACAAACGTTTCAAAGGGTTTTGACCAAACCCAGGAAAAGGACCCGGAGGGTCACTATAGGAGACTTTGTTTGAGAAGTATTTTAAGTAACTTTTTATATTGGTAGTTAATGTTAAGAAAAGGGAGAAAGAATCAATTGTAACATATATTTAAACGTAGTCAAGCGTAAGAAAAATCAATTTTACTTTTAATTAAGTAGTAAAGTTAATTTATAACTAGTATAACACAATTCCTCTTTTTTCAGGACACGTTTTTATTATTAAACGTTTATTCAGAATGAAATCTATTAATCTCTATAGAAAAAAATCGATAGGTTATTATATTAAAAAAAACCAAAACTAAAACATCTTATGTATTTATAAAAAGAGTATATAATGAGAAGTAGATAAATTCTTTCATTCTTTTACGAGATAAATTCTGATCAGATTAAAAAAAAATAACTTCTAAAAACATTAAAAAATAGCAATTTAAAATAATAAATTTGTAAAGTAATGTAAGATTTTTATCTTGTTTTTTTAATAGCTAAATTCCAAAAATATTTATAAGTTTTTTTTTTATTTCCTTCTCGCTTATTTATAATATAAAATTATGCAAAGGAGTTTGGAAATGTAGATAAGAACTTATAACAAACCGATAATATAAAAATTAATGCTTTTACATAGTTTAAATACGTTAACTTCGAATCAATTTTAATATCTACTCGTAGAAATATTCATTTACGAATTAATTTCTCGATAATAGCTTCCTTATATAGCCTGTGGGGCGTATTTTAAGACACCAAATTTCTATCTACCATGTGAGTTGAATTGAAATGCTTAATAATGAGAAAACAGATTAATTGGATCATTACAACGCTAAAAAATATAAATTTGATTAGAGTAGATAATTTTTCTACGATGGGAAAAATTTTTCTGTTTTTTAAAGAAAAAATGCGCCTTTTTCTTTAAAAAAAAAGGGTACATTTTTCTATATTTAGACCGGATTTTAAGGTAAAGTTTGGATCATAATTTAATACTAAATTGAAAAATTTCTCGATATTTATCATATAAATTAATATACAATTTTAAAAACGTACAGAAATTTATATTTAAATTTATGTATTTATTGCCGAGAATATCCATTCTCAGCAATAAATACATTTTAACTTACAGTATTAAGGTTCATAAGTAATTTATAGACTAAGTTTAGCTATCAAAATACTATAACATAATTTCGTTATCTTTACAACTATAAATCTAAAAATCAATTATAAAATTTCAGTAATAAAGTTTAAATATCTTAATTATTCCTTTATTATTTTAAATATAACAGCGTAATGTTGTGTGTTGGTAACGATATTTAAACAAGTAAAAGTTGAGTTTATTTAATATTGGAAAGAAAATTAAAAATTTTCAAATGAATTGAATTGTTATCCAAATGAAATTTAAAATATACTTATCTTTACAAAATTCCAAAATAACAGGAAACATGGAGTGAAAAATTATAGTAGCATTCAGATTTTATCGAGACTCATACTATCATCCATCAAGATCCTGCCATAGACAAATGGTAAACTTTCCTCCTATAAATTCCACTGATTAAAAAATTCTTTACAGTTATCATGCATAAATAATCTAAGATCAAACTTCCATTTATTTCTTTTTCTTTTTTTTACATGTTAAGATTCATAGAATGATTATTAGAGTATGCATCGAATACTATTCAAAAGTGGGATATAATCGAGGAAAAGAGGGATGAAATATTTCAGATTTATCACAAGTTTGAAGCAAAAGAATTGCTTTAAAATAATGTTCTTCCTCTGTTACAAATGAAAAAGAGTGATAAATGTACTATTTTCTTCTGGGACCTTTTTAGGATGTTGGAGAGAAGTGGCCCAATTTTCATAATGATTTTTAGTTATATATTGCATTTGCAAACAAGTTGATTCGCTAACAGTCAACAATAAAAAACTACCAGGCAGGAAGTTTGAAACAACTTAAATAAGAGAAAGAAATAAATTGAGAAAGCCGTCAAAATCTAAACCAATTTGTACTCGGGCGTGGAGCTGTAAACCAAGCCGGCAAAGGTAGGAAATTACAGGTGACCAGACAAGAATGAATGTGTTGTATGCCATGTATCTTCACCACTACATCTACCACTATATACCTATAGGAGGGTAAAGGAAACGGAGGATAGAATACCATCCTATAATTCGTTAGTAGCACAGGCGGGCCTCTATAATTAGACTTTTGTGTAGGGGATAGTTGGAACGCATATCTTTGCACTTTTTAGTGATTTATAGAAGGTAATGAAAAATAAAGACCACTAAAAACAACATTGTATAATTCGGATATATCCAAGTTATTATACGTCAGTTCATTGTGCATTTTCAATGAAAAGAAATTAATCCATATATGGAATCCTAGGGTGTCTGAGTCTTATCTAATGTCACAGGTGAATTGTCTCCTGTCCTTTCCATCACCCTCGGGTGACAGGAGTATTGTCACGGAAAAATGACGTCATCTAATTTTTGTGATGAAAATGCTATTAATGCAGCCACAGGACAATTTATTTATAAATCATTTTAATCTACCGGATATCATGAAGATGCCTGAAAGCTCTTATTAGTTAATTATCATCATCATCATCCATCGATTTTCGTCTTCTTTGAATTAACCATACATCTTATTGTATTTAAGTACCATTTAAATACATACAGCATGCATTTTTTTAAATAAAATTTTAAGATAAATAAGCTTATATATGTCTTTATAATAATAAAATATTACGAAATGCATTTTGCGGGTTATTTATTAATAAAATAATTTTGAGGTATTTTTTTTCTGTTTTAACAAATTTATAAATTAATAAATCTGTAATAAAATTCATTAGTTTTTTTTTCATTAGAAGAAAATTACAGATAAAAAAATAAAGTGAAAATAAATAAATA